TTCAGTCTGTGACTCCTTTATTGGTCCAAAATGCCTAAACATTTTACTCAGGCTCTTCTCAGGAGGTATTGTATCCGCTTCAGAAAAGTTCATTACAAGCTCAGCTGGTGCATTCTCATCAAAGTTTGCTGGTTTGTCTGAGGCTGAAAGATGAATATTGATCTGAGCCTGTCTTCTTCTGTATGGTCGACGAGTCCTTTGAATCTGAGCAGGTTTCAACTCAACTGGCACAACTTGATAATTTGCTTTCTCAATAGGTGGCGTTTGCTCTTCACCACCATTATGGATCACCCTGTCAGTCCAGTATGTGTCTCCCGTTTCCTCGAACTCAAATGATTCAGTTCCTGCTACATTAGAATTGGATGGTCGACCTTTTTTCTTGCTTACCTTTTCCGTGGTAACTTGCTGTGAAGCCGATGAGTTTCGGAAATCCAAGAAAAAGCCAGCAGCAATGTCAGATACAACGTTCTCTTTAACAGGGTCTGTTGCTGCGCAATGAAGCTGGGATACAAAACTCTCAACAGAAAGAGTTTCATCATCAAAGTTACTACCCTTCAAAACTGAAGAAGATCCTGCCATCTGACTAGCAGCTCTGGCTATGCATGCACCGATCTTAAAGGAAGGCCTTTCGGCGAAAGACACCTTCGCGAATGAAACAGTCTTCCTACCTTCCCCTGGTGAATCCTCACTCAGGACATCAGCCTTTCGTTTCACACCATTCGTTTTCATGTCAAAACCGGTTATATCATTAGCATAATCAGAATTGTTGGGATTTTCTTCCATTTCTGCATCTTCCTTTTGGTTTGGGTCGATACTTGGAGCTTCATGAGTAATGTCATCTTCCTCTATCATTGTATCTTGTTGATCTGCTGTTTTCCTATCTAGGGATTGATGATCCTTACCTTGTTGGTTTTCTTCAGATCCCAAAGTTGCATCAGAAGTCTCTTTTGAACAATCTGTTGCAGCAGCTGGAGATCCTGCCCCAACACCAACACGCGCTTCATTCAATTCAGATTCGATACCTTTGGGACTTAGGCTTAGATTAGCATCTGCTGTGGCAACATCCTCTGCCATGTCAGCAGCTTTCTTATCATCTTTCAAAGATACATTCCCGGTTTCGGTTCTAAGGTCTTGTATATTTCCTGACCAAGATGATACACCACTGAAATCAATAAAGTTGGTAATATCAGAAGTTGGATCAAAAAGAGCATTATGATCCAACGGTTCAACTTCACCTGGAGCAGCATCTTCAGTGGGACTATTTGAGATAGCTGAATCAGCAGATTCAATTGTTCCGGTAAGATCACTTGCCATATGAGCATTATCTTTGCGTTCATCAATTTCCATTTTCTCAACTACATTGGAAACATTGTTGTCAGCTTCAGCTACTGGAACATCTTGGGTTTTTACCATACTTGCACCAGCAGATTCATTGCAGTCATTATCCAAAGCGCCGCCTACTTTACCATCCTTTATCATCTGTTCCTCTGCCGCACAATCAATCTCCATGGCTTCTCCGTTTTCCTCTTTCTGATTTTTTTCATCTGTTTCCTCTTTGCTCAGTTGGGTAGACTCCTCTGGAACCTGTGCAGATCCTGAATGCTTAGCATGTTCATGATTTCCCTGTTCATGAAGAGCAACACTCTCTTCATTTTCCTGTTTGCTATCAACAACCATTTTGTTATTATCCTTCTCTCTTTTCTTTGTTGTTTCCTTCTCTCGGTCAACTTTATTTTCTGTAACAGAAAGCGTCTCAACATGGAGTGTATTTTGCTGGGACTTTTCACTTTCAACATCTTGTTCTGCAGCACAAACACCACCGTTATCTTCAACTTCACATGTTGCCTTCTCATCGGTAGCACCATTCGCAGCAGAAATTACAGTCTCCTCTTCCCCTACAGTTTCATCATGACTAGCACCATTGTTACTCTTAACTTCAGACTTAGCCGTTTCATCATTCAACTTCACCTCAACAGTTCCAGTATCTCCTTCACACTCCATCTCAGTTTCAGGCTCTGTGATAGCATCAGTCCTTTTAACATCATCATCAACATCAGCTTTCACTTGTTTCTCATCAGAAACCGAATTACCAGCTTTTAAGCTCCCACCACCAGTAGCTAAATCTCCATCATTTGGGATTTCATCAATCCCACAAACATCGAAAACACCTGAATCGAAAACCTCTGACGTTGTTGCATCCTCACCAACTAGGGTTTCAGTTTTAGAAGATAAACCTAGTCCCTTACCAGCTTCCTCCATGGGCTCTCTAAAATCACCAAGAAACTCACTTTCCTCTCGCTGTTCCTCCATTGAAATTTATCTGTTAAAAGCTCAAAACTACTCAATCTATCGATGGGTCTTATACAATCCGAAACTCGGAACAGGAATCGGAGCAAAGGGTATTCGAAATTAGCATGAAAAGTTCCAGATTTCGCTGAACCCAGAAGTGAAATCAACAACGAGAAAGCTGAAATTATCGGAATTACCTCTTAAGATCTTGCGAATTGGAGAAAAGATATAAAGGGAAGGGCTTTGGGTCTCTCAGTTACAGAGACCAGTGTGGTGAAGAAGACAGGGCAATGCTCGAAGAGAGAGAAAACCTACGATCCATTTTTTGTTTTCGAGATAAATCCCTAACTTTTCTTAAATGTTGTTTTTACCCCCAATATCTTGTTTGTTTCACTTTTAAGATCAAAGCTTTTCAAGAGTGATAAAAGAACCTTTTGAAATTTTCCGTATTTGTGCACGTTTTTTTTTTTTTTTATAAACTTTATCGGCTATCCGGTCGGTCCCGGTAGGAACGCACCAAAGTACTACATAGTGGACTGGTCCACCGTGTTAACGGTTAGCCCCTTATGCCCAAGCATATGTGGTCTAGTGGCAGAAGAAGCTTTGGAAAAGGGTGAAACTCTCAAACCTGAGTTCGATTCTCCCTGGAAACAAAAAAAACATTTGTTTGGGAAGTCTGTCAGTTGGGCCTTGGCCCAATTAGTTTACCTGGTAGCCAGAAATGCAGGCGGTCTGACTACCCCCTAGCACTTAATCGGAAGGCATTTCAAACTCGAAATAGCCATAGGCAGAGTGGTATTTGTGCACATTGAGTTAAAAGATATTAAAAGAACTTTTTTCATTATAAAAAGTAAAAACTAGTTAATACATAAAATTACTATAATTATAATTAACTATATATGTAGATTGTAGATATATAATTTAACTATTCTTTTATAGATATGTTATGTGCAGTTACGTATATCTATACATAGTTGAATAAATAAATGAATTAAAAAAAATGTGAATATAGTCAACTATGTAAATATATATTGTTAACTAGTTTTGAATGTAATCAACTATATAAATATTTATTTGCTACTTGTGAATATAATCAACTATATGTGAAATTTTTATCAAACAACTATGTACAGATATATTGATGATTATATTATGAAGTATTCATAAATTCTATGTTGAAAGTAGAATGAATACTATGATAAATTTAGCACTTGAAAACTGATCGTTATAATGAAAGAAAATGAGTCTGTTGCCGTCTATTAGTAGAATTTTCTTTTGTTACAATTATAGTCTTCTTTTTTTGGATTGCCGCATTATTACGACCTGTACTATTTCCATTCTCAACGTTTCGACCCAAACTTTTCGGCTCTTCATAAATCGACATAAACTTTACTTATTCTTTATAAATCAACCTCAACTTTTGTTTTTGTTCAAATATCTACACTGCCAATCGAAATAGATAATCCGGATTCTAAACCCGATTAAACCGTTAAATCGCGATTACTGTTTTGCGTTTGACTTTATCCGACTGTTTTGCCTCTGACCCGATAGACCCAGTTAAGAAACGACTTCGTGTGTTTTGGAGAGAACAAACTCAAATCGTTTAATCTAGGGTTCTCATAATTGGGAAAAAATCGAATTGGAGTGAATTTGGATTCTGAGAAATTTGGGGAAAACAGATTTTGAGTGATTTTCGGTTTAGGGTCTTCAACTCATGAGCTACTCGTCGGATTCATTGCGTTCAATGCGTCGACAAGCTCCAAACGGTGTTCCAACGAGATGCTGGTGTGGAGAGGGAATAACCACATTCACATCGAAAACAAAAGATAACCCTTTCCGGCGATTCTATATATAGATGCTCCATTGCATTGCAGGTAAAGTCAACTTTTTATTTGTGTTCTTGATTGAAATGATTAATTGATCGGATTGTATATGTACCAGAGAGAAGGAGGAGCATTTGTTCAAATGGGTTGATGAAGCCTTGTTAGACGAATTAAGGGAGGTGGATGGCAAGTGTAGTAGAGTTATTGAGGATCTCAATGAATTGAAGACAGTGGAGGAACATATGGTTAAGAAGATGAAGAAGATGGAGGAAGAGATGGTTAAATAGCACACGACGTCGTTTCTTAACTGGGTCGATCAGGTCAAAGGCAACAAACTCGGATCAGGTCAAACGCGAAACAATAATCGCGATTTAGCGGTTTAATCGGGTTTAGAATCGAGATTATCTATTTCAATTAGAGGTGTAGACTTTTGAACTAAAAAAAAGTTGAGATTGTTTTATAAAGAATAAGTAAAGTTTATGTCGATTTATGAAGAGCCGAAAAGTTTGGATCGAAACGTTGAGAATGGGAATCGTACAGGTCGTAATAATGCGGCAACCCTCTTTTTTAAGATGTTAATGTGATGATTGTACGAGTTACCAGCGTTATTGGGCCGAATACACTGCCACTGTCTATGGCAGATTCGTTTGGTTTAAAAGGTACATGAGTTTTAATTTTTTGTTATCAAGGTACATGAGTTTTTTTGTTATCTCATGTATATTTTTTATTAATCTCCTGATCATGGAAATAAATTGTCATATCTCCATATACTATAGTCTCTTAATTATTATTTTTTTTTCTCTTAGAATTTTTTTTTTTTTTTTTTTTTTTTAAGTCGGTTGAAAATAGATGGATGTGGGTGGTACATTGCTAGGCTAACCCAAGAGATTGATGTCATGACACCTTCCATTCGTATTTAAATAGAACACTTCATAATAAAGCGATTTTAGTTTTTTTTATAAACTCTATCAGCTTAGCTTCAATGAATAAATGATTAAATGTAACGAAATTAAATTATTAAAAATACATGTCTGTGGTAAAAATAAAGCTTAGTGAGATGGAGAAAATGAATTAATTTTTAGCTGAGTCATTTGATCAACAGCTTGTAGCCTATCAATGTATGGCCTTCTTCTGTATGCTCTCTCCTCCAACTGTGCCTATTCAACAGTCAAAAAAGCAAATCTTTATAATATCAGTTTAATAGATTTTCCGACACACGAAGATCACAACATCTTGCATGTAAGAGGCCTTTTCGTTTTTTATTAACCTATAAGCACCAAGATCCAACTAAATTATTACAGAGACACGTGCTACAGCGAGGGATCACGTGCCAAAGCAGGGCCTAGCTAGTTGAGGGTGGATCCATGTGATACCACATCATGGGCACATGAGGCCATGACTGACATCAACTTAATAATGCAACTTGTGTATGCATGTGTGCGTATGTCTCATCGGATTTATTTGGTGCATATATATAGAGTAAACAAAAAAATCGATGCATAGACAGAAGCTAGATGGTTTAAGAACACTATATGTGAAGAAGACATGTACATGTTAGATATGATTATAGTAATTTTATTCCTTTTAACCATGATAATTAATATAAATTACTGATTTGTAAATTGTTATTGTAGTAAAGTGGGATATAAGAAAAAAACATCAAATCAAATCTAACTTTTTTTTTTTTTGGTATTTTATAACCAAAATACTGCATAATACAAACAGATAATCCAATGATGATATTGACGTAAAAAAACAATCTATTTATGTTAACTAAATACGTATGTGAAACAAATGTTGATTCTGATATATATTTTTCTCAAGTGATTATTGCAATAGTACTTATTTTCGATATCTTTTTAGTTTTTAGTGAAGTAGCTAGCTTTCGTTATAAGGTTTCGAAATAGAATTACAAATACCTGATATGGGAGGAGTGGAAAAAGAAAGGGGTTTCGAAAAGGAAGGTGGTGGAAACCCGTAGGCTTGAGATTGATGATAAGGATAGACAGTGTAGAAAGGCACCATTGGACTTGCTGCCCCAACCATAACTCGTCCTCCACCATACATGTGATGGTGGTAATATTGCGGTTGCGGCTGCGATTGCGGTTGTGGTTGCATTTGTGCATAGTATCCGTTCATATAGGTTCCTCCGGCATATCCAACTTTCTGTTCATTAAACAATCACAAACAAATTCATAATAAGTGGAAAACCATAGAAGCATATCGATTTATTTTGTTTGGTTTGAATTAGAAATCATGAGACTTACTTGATTGAAGTTCATGTTCGGGGCAACGTAGGCGGAAGGGTACCTTAATTTAATATCAAAACGGGACTAATCAAATACTTTATTAATTTACGTACATATTCAAAAAGATTAGACCATAGAAAATAATTTACCCATAGAAAGGAACGGCTTGATGTTGTTGTTGAAGTTGGTATTGCTGGTTTGTGAAACCGGACGGGTAGTACCATTGAGAATGATTTCCAACATGTGGTGGCGTGGCCCTGTTACCATTTTTTGTTCCTTCACATGTCAAAACATCATTGATGATAATGTTAATATTGGTTTTGAAAAATGATTTCTAATAAGTTTGAATAATGGCAAAAAGTACTGGTCTCTCGATTTCGTTCATATCAAGGTTTAATCCTTAGAATGTCTCCTATCTATGGCAAATTGTTTTTGTTTTTGTTTTTCTTCCAAATTGTAAGTGAAAACATTAGCATTAGACATATCTCCACATAAAAAAAAATTCATATATGACATATATATAGCATTTTATTATAAAAATAATAATTAAGATGGACCTTGTTGAGGAGAGGTCATGGTGGGGGATTTACGAAGGCGGCCACCGAGGGAGGCGAGATTGCAGTTGGCACGGCGGCCATTGATGATCGGAGTAGAGTCTTCGCAAGCTCTCGTGGCAGCTTCCGCATCTTTGAAAGTCACCTATCAAAAACATATTTTAAAACAAAATGAGAAAGGAACAAAGCAAAAAGTGAGATAAAGAAAGAAAATAAACGAGATAGGACGAAGCATACAAAGCCGTATCCTTTGGAACGGCGAGTGAGTTTGTCGGAGATGATGACTGCCTCCAAGATGTCACCATACTTGATGAAATGATCATACATTGCTTCTTTGTGAGTATCCCAAGCCAATCCTCCTACGAACACTTTGGTCAGCTTCGTGTCTCCGAAACATCCGTTCACGTTGTTGCTCGTTGTCATTGGATCGTGTGTATGCGAGAGAAAGAGAGAGAGAGAGAGAGAGCAGAGATATAGATAGAGAGAGAAGAAGAGTGAATTGAATTATATATAAAAAAGAGAGGGAATAATAATAAAGAAGTTGTGTAAAATAAAGAGTGACAGATTGGTGGACAGGTAAGTCTTAACGTGATCACTACACCCTTCAGTATATATGTCTATATTCATATCTCTTATGCATTTTCTCTTAATAACATCTCCACAAATATATTTTTGCACTGCCATGGCCCATGCATGGGTTTTAGCAATGTTGTTGATTGACTTGTCCTAGCCGAGCCAATTGGTGCTTTAGACGGCAAAATCTATTACAACTACATGGACTTCATTTGCTTAGAAAAATGTGTTGTCGTGCAGTGATGAGGTCAGCTCGATTGGTTTCATGAGATCTAACCCAAATTTGAATTTTTTTTTGTTATTGTTTTACATGTATGTTTATAATTGAGCTCCATACATGTAAAACAAACAAACAAAAGAAAGGTATGGAGTTGGCAGTTGTTGTTAAACCTGGATCTGATTTAGTCAAGATATTGGGCTGGGCCAATTTTGGGCCCAACAGCAACACAAAAAGATCGAGTCGCGCAATTGCCTTCTCCAACCACATGTTTCGCAAATTCACAGAGCGTATTAAAAGAGAAAAAAAAAAAAAAGTTATATATATATGAATGCAGCTTTTGAAGTTGACTTAGACCCAAAAAGTTTAAGAAATTTAGCGACACTTAAAGGCCTAAAGGGAATCCTATCATAGGATTCCTATCCTCCACCTTCATAAAGATTAGCTAAAAGCGGGACCATCTTCTGTTTGAACGGTAACATTTTGGAAAATGAAGACGTTTCCTATTCCGTTCATTTTTAATTGGGTTCACTATCCGGTCGATTATCAAATGCAGCTTCTTCTTTCCCATGATCAAAAGATAATTTAATTAGTCGATGCAAAAATACTGAAAATACCCATTGTTGATAGAAACTTACGTGTCATAAATTAATAAAACAACTATGCTTTTTGAAAATAACTGATCAAAATGAACTTTTTGAATGCTATTATCCATAAAATTAATGTCAAAAAGATTTGAGAGAAAAAGAATAAGATAAGCTAAATAATGTCAAAAAAGATTTGAGAAAGTTTTATTCCTTTCAAAAGTTTTGCCTTTTAGATTAAATATGTCTTTACAAAACAAAAAAAAACGAAATTAGTTGTCCGTTTCTTTTCATTTTCTTGCTTTAACAAACTTTATTCCTCTCTGTTCCTTTCTTTTTTATTGTCTTTAGCTGTGTCTTGACTCTTGACTCTTGATTTTTCCATGTTGGATAATAATGCAGGCTTCATGATAACATTCATTGCCGTTTTACCGTTTTACCGTTTACATGATAGAAAATTTGTCACGCAGTGTTTTACTTTAAATTTATACCAATCATTATAAAAGCGTTATATACTGTATTTGATTATTTTATAAACTTATTAGTTAAGAGTATGATTAAAAAACAAATTAAACATTTTTCATAATATATGTTAAAATCTTTAGAACTTACTTAATAATGAAATGGAGGTATTAATATGAAATAAAATCTCGAATCTAGTATAATGTGTACATAATAATAACATTAATACACTAGAAGAGGGTTGAACAAAACGTCAAAATATACCATCGGAGAATAATGTCGAGAAGCTGTTGCTAATGAGTAATGACAAAGTTTGACCGTTCGAGCTCGTCGAGCCCTTCGGTTACGTCTTTCAAGACTTTGTCTAGTTGCATGGCATTTTCCGACATTCCAAAAAAAACAGCCAAACACTTTGAAAATCTCACTGACGCTTGTCTTATCACTTTCGAGTCAATATATTAACTATTTTTCCGTGGTAATTAGATTGATTAAACAACAGTTTGCATACCAAATTTCAAGAAACCGATTTCTAACCTACGTGGCTTAGGAAACCAAAGTTATAGCAAGTTTTTAACCTCATTTAGCATTTATATGATCATTCAGTGAATTTTGCTACAATTATTTTGACCAGATAACCAAAGTTTTATCTATCTTTGTTTTGTTTTGTTTTGCTTAGTTTACAAGATTGATTGAACAAAATATACAAATGATAATACCGTAGAAGTAACAAGTTGTTAAGAAAATACTCAAATAGCATGCAATGATTAAACAAACAAAAGATCTATAAAGAAAAGAAAGAAAATAGAAGGAAAGAAGATTGACTTGGGAGGGTTATGACATATGCAGGAAGAAGGTGATAAAGTGCACGTGTACCTGAAAAGATATCATCATCTTAATGTAGAAATCAAAATTTTCCGTATCATATTTTTCAAGAAAATATAAAATGTAAACAATTAATTGGACTCATGATGCCACTTTCTCATAATTCGCAGACTTAGCTCATCATCATTCCTTCTACGCCCAATCCTTTTTCATCATTTACTTTTCGTCACCAATTGTATTTCTTCATCTTCATCACCAATTTATTTCAGAAAAAAAAAGTGTTAGGACTTAGGACAATGATTTTGTAGAAGAATACTCGAAAGCCGATTATTAATTATATTGCTTATTAGTAACACCATGTTTTTTTTACTATAGACAATAGTTTTTTCATTTTGTTAGGGAATTATTCAATTAATCATTGTTGTTGAAAGTAAAATTTACATTTCCATATTCAAAATCCGATACACATAAATTTCGAAGTGGACTACCATTATCAACCCTAATTATTTTTGTCTTTTATTTTTCTAGCTTAAATTAGTGTTTACAATAATGGCAAAAAGCAGACGCATTAACTTTTGTAATTGGGCTTTACCTTCTTTCGTTTTCACTTTAATTATTTAATTAGACCTTTTTACAAGACCCAAAAAAACAAAAGTCAAAATAATCGCTAGTCTCAAAAAGTCAAGAGTAATCCTCTCTCTCTCTCTCTCTCTCTCTCTGTTTCTATCACACTCATCATGAACGTCACCACCAAACAACACTTCCATTGATCCTCATAATAATCTCCACCAATTCTCATTTCCCTCTTGGATTCTTCAAACCTCTCTCTGAAAGTTCTCATTTTTTGTTTCATTTCCTTGGATTCCACTGTTTCTATCAATTCTTACTAAAATGGTGAGCAAATGGAAGAAGATGAAGCTAGCTTTGAGTTTGAATCTATGCACTTATCTCCCACGAACCCTCGAAGAGGAACCACCATCATCAGCTTTAAATTCCACTGAGAGCTTATCAGATGCTGCTTTGCTTTCTCCTCTTAACTGGCCCATGACTCCAACACCTTCTTACCGTACAAGGTTGTCCAGAAGTATCAGCAAATCGTCAAAGGTTTGTTTCATCATGACCCATATTCTTAAATCTGTTTTATTACGAGAAAGCTTGATACTTTTGGTTGCTGAGACACTAACCTGACCTTTGTGGTTCAAGAGTTTGTCTTGCCTGATCTCTGCTTCCTGTCTTTGATTGGATTAGTCTTTTGCTCTGTTTTCGAGCTATGTGAATTGAAAATAGTATTAAAAGCTCAAATATTTCAGTCCTATTGTGTGTAGTTAGTTGTAATGAAGAAGAGCATAGTCATAATTTTGTTTCAGTGAAGCCTTTATATTCCTTAGAATAGAACATTTATCATCGTCTTTGTCCTGTTTAAAGTAGAAAAATAGTATTGTCTCCTAAGATCATGGATTCTTTCTTCTTTTAGATTTTTGTGGGTAGTTTGTTTCGTTAAGTAGCACTTGGTTTCATGTGGGTTTCTTTTCTTCTTCTGATGAGCTTGTTGACTCACAATCCCTGCATCTTTTTGTTTTCCTACTCTCTTAATCAGCAGACTTGCTCTATATGCTTGACTAAGATGAAAGAAGGTTGTGGACATGCAATTTTCACAGCTGAGTGCTCGCACATGTTTCATTTTCATTGCATTGCTTCGAATGTGAAACACGGCAACCAAGTTTGCCCAGTGTGCCGAGCTCAATGGAAGGAAATCCCTATACAGAAGCCGAGTTTGGATCTTCCTTATTATCCCTTTGACCGGTTCAATAATGATGCAGCCATTAGGCTTATCCGCTGCTTACCTCCTTCTCAACGAGCTATGAACCAAGGGCATCCTGAGCCAGCTATTTTCGATGATGATGAACGGTTAGAGGCGCAAATTGTTTTTCTTGGTGAAACTGATGCTTTGGAGAAGGAGAACTGTGATTCTGTGCGAATGATGAACATGAAAATGTATCCAGAGGTCTCAGCTGTACCACAATCCAAGTCCTGTGAGAATTTTGATATATTAGTGCATCTCAAAGCAGTTACTGGTGATCAGATTTCTCAGTATCGCCGAGCGCCAGTTGATTTAGTTACAGTGCTAGACGTCAGTGGTAGTATGGGAGGAACTAAGCTAGCACTTCTGAAACGAGCAATGGGTTTTGTGATTCAAAATCTTGGGTCCAGTGATAGGCTCTCAGTGATTGCTTTCTCTTCAACAGCTCGCCGTCTCTTCCCTTTAACACGAATGTCTGATGCAGGAAGACAGCAAGCCCTTCAAGCTGTTAACTCATTGGTTGCAAATGGTGGGACCAATATCTTCGATGGTCTTAGAAAAGGTGCTAAGGTTATGGAAGATAGACGAGAGAGAAATTCTGTTGCCAGCATTATCCTTTTGTCTGACGGGCGAGATACCTATACTACGAACCATCCTGATCCAAGTTACAAGGCGATGCTTCCTCAGATCCCTGTTCACTCTTTTGGTTTTGGATCAGATCATGATGCTTCGGTGATGCACTCAGTCTCTGAATTCTCTGGTGGAACCTTCTCTTTCATTGAAAGTGAGTCTGTGATCCAGGATGCTCTTGCACAGTGCATTGGTGGACTTTTAAGCGTCGCAGTGCAGGAGCTACGAGTAGAAATTGAAGGTGTGTGCCCAAATGTTCGACTTAGCTCGATAAAAGCTGGGAGTTACTCTAGCCTTGTAAATGGTGATGGCCACTCAGGATTGGTTGATCTTGGTGATCTTTATGCCGATGAAGAGAGGGATTTTTTGGTTTCTATCAACATCCCTGTCGAGGAAGATGGACATACACCATTACTAAAGCTGAGATGTCTCTACATTGATCCCTTGACAAAGGAGATTACAACGGTTGAAAGTCCCGTGCTTCAGATTCGTAGACCAGAATATGTTGCTGAAGAAGAAGTTGTCCCCATCGAAGTGGTCAGGCAAAGAAACAGATTCCTAGCTGCAGAGGCAATGGCCCAAGCAAGAACATTAGCCGAGCATGGAGATTTAGAGGCAGCCGTTAAAGCCATTGAGAATTTTAGATTGCTTTTGGCAGAGACGGTTGCAGCAAAATCCCGTGATAGGTTTTGTGTTGCTTTGGACTTGGAACTGAAGGAAATGCAAGGTAGAATGAGGAGTAGTCACGTGTACGAGGCATCGGGAAGAGCTTATATTCTTTCTGGACTTAGCTCACACTCATGGCAAAGAGCAACAGCGAGGGGAAATTCAAGGGACTTTGTCCAGGCTTATCAGACTCCATCAATGGCTGAGATGCTACGTCGGTCACAGGCCATGTTACTGGTTAGTCCATCACATCAAAGACTCATTCAGCCATTGCTGTCTTTTGCTTCACAACCAAAGCCAAGGTAAAAGAACAAATTTTGACATCAATCCAATGCTTTCTGTACGAGTAGTTAAGTAGCAAGCTTAAACTTGTTTTGTCTGTAAAGAAACAAGCAAAAGCAGTCAAAACAGTTGGAGGAATGTAACATAGATATATAATGAATAGTGGGTTTAGAGTTTGGGAATATCTTTTGTAGTAAATCTTCATTGCCTCTATATACTCAAAACTCACAAATTGCACATATATATAACTACAGCAACATTAACACAATACATAACAAGAACCCAACACAAAACGAGACACCGAGACAGAAGAGAAGACACTATTCTCCAGCTAATGTTCTTGGCAAAATGAAAGAAAATAAAAATTTCTAGCAAAATAAATCTCCCGGGGGGAAATGTTCAAATGGTGTCTCTTCATGAATCATGATCTACCTTTCTTCATCCTTGCATCTCTTTGGTTTCGGAAGTGGCTGAGAAGTTGCTGTGCCTGCAAAGAATAATAATATTCAGATATCTCGATCAAAAAGAAACTGAACTTGGTGTGTTTTCGTGTAACCGTAGAAGAAGAATATAGTCTTTACCTTCTCTTTTGCTCTCTGTGTACCAGACTGAGACAAGGCAACAAGCGGAGGTATGGCGCCTTCTTGCAAGACCAGAGTGCAAAACTTGGGACTGTTCAGACATAACTGAAGCAACACAGAAGCTGCATTCTCTTTCCCTCTCTGAGATCCTAAGTCAACAGTCTCAACAAGTAATGGAATCCCACCTTCCCTCACGATTGCTTGACGCCCTTCTCCAACTGCAGAAAGATTTGCAAGAAGAGCAACTGCTTTATCAACCATCTCTAAATCTGGGTCCAACAGCTCTACAAGATACTTAATCGCCTTAGCTTGCACAATACGGGCCTTGTTATCATGAGTTATCGATAGATTGAACAAAGCAGAGGCGGCGTCTTTCTTTCCTCGAAATGTTCCTTTACCAAGAAGATTCACCAAAGCTTGTATCGCTGCGTTAGACTGGCCTATTCGTTCCCTGTTGACCTGCAGAACAGACAGACTGAACAATGTTGCTGCTGAATTCTCTTTGGCTCTGTCATTTCCTGTGTTCAAAACATGAACAAGCGGTTCTATCGCCCCGGCTTCCACAATCATGGCTTTGTTTAGTTCACTGATCGAAAGGTTCAGAAGAGCCGTGACTGCGTGTTCTTGGGTTAGCTTTTCTTCTGAGTATAAAAGTGACAGCAGTGGAGTGATAGCACCACAACGCCCGATATGAACACGATTTTCAATGCTGTTAATGGTGAGATGACGTATTTCAGCTGCAGCAGCAGTCTTCACTTTGTTAGATCCATTTTTAAGATCTTCTACCAATTTTATGGTATGTGAAGTCATCATTGTTCCTGAATCATCTAAATCCTGTACAGAACACTCATAAGTCTTCGCTGCGCTATGCTCATGATTTACATTGCTTGAACTTTCTGAGTTTTTCTTGGGAGACATCTCACTGGAGCTTTGGTGATTCCCTAGTATACTTTCTGTCTCATGGGTCACCGAAGGCACATAATCAACAGATGAGACAACACTGCAAACTGATTCACTCCTGCTGTGAGTGTAAGACTGCCCCGGAGACAAAAGTTCGAATATCTCAAGATCCTTGCTTTGAGATTCCCCGCATAAACTGACAGGCACGTTGATCTTTAGTTTCTCAAACCCATTTCCAGTTTCAAGAGATGATCTTGAGGTAAAACTGCTACTCCGTAAAGAAAACCGAAAACTCTCGGTGCGGTTAAAGTCTTGAGAACCCATGTTATTAGCCATGGATGAAGCATCACCACCATCATACTGATGACAAGAGTTAGTAGCAAGGTTGATCCTGTTTGCCTCCAACCAACTCGCTATCATAGCCTTAACCGTGTAATTGGGAATGAGTTCTTGATGAGTCAGCACCTGCCGCGTCCTGGGACAAACAGCTAACCCGTTATCAAGCCATTTCTTAATAGATGTTCTGTCAAATGTCTGTCCTGAAGCTACTATTACCGGATCCAGCATGAGTTCCGTTGACAAAGGACATCGGAAATACGGGGGTATCGAGATACCTTTAGCCACTTCAAGAAACTCCGTTTTAAGCATGTGTTCACGAATGCACAAGACGAGTTCTATCAATTGTTCGGTTTGTTCCATATCTTCTTTCGACTTGCTGGCCTGGGATCTTATCCTCTCCTTCTCCACAGCAATGCTTTCCTTTAAGAGATCTTGGTTTGATATCAATCCAAGCATTTGAATTATGCTTTGCAGATGATGGTTATCCAAAGAGGCAATATCATCTTTCTGATTCCGTAAAGCATTCTCCATGTGTTCGGTTAATGTCCCCTCTTGCTTAAAACTCTCAATCTCCTGCACGCAGCGCTGAAACCGTTCCAAGAGATTAATACAAATGGCTGCAAAGAAGACACATAGGGCTAAAGAAACGAAGAAATACTAGTTTACCTCTACACTTTGTACGCTTGAAGTTTCCGGACTTGACTGTGATAACTGAAGAAGTATGCGACTAATCTCCAAGGAACAAGTTTGGACCTTTCCCAACAAAACCTCGCATTGAAACACCTGCACAACAACAATGCATTGAATAATACTGAAAGCTGCACGAAAACTGAAATGAGAACTTATATCATCAACTTACACCAAACAGCTTGCTCAACTTTGGTGACCAGTCCTCTAAGAACTCCCGAGCCTGGTTAATAACGGAATCAAGGTCTTCACATCCTTTATATAAGCAGTCATCAGAAGGTATCTTGCAATCAACAACTTCATCGAGCAACGGTTTCAAGAGCTTCAACAAGAGAACCATATTTCCAATACATGTTTGTATAGGAATAAATCTTATGGTCTGGCACGCGACCAGATGAAGATACCGAGATATACTGTTAAGAAGACATCGAAAAGGCACAGGATCCATTCAACTATCAAGCTGGACAACACAAAAACAAAACACACACATATCATCAACTTGTGAACATTTTAATCTTTCACAATAGACCTCATGGCTTAGAAAAAAAAGTCAAGACTTTATCTTTTAACACAAATTTTCTGATAGAACAAGATATAAAAAGCATTGACTTTTTGACTTATTTGTCTGAGAAGACAGACATGACTAGATTCAGTCAATTCTTTGTGGAGAACTGAAAAAAAGGAAGTAAATTTAAACAGAGACTTGACTTGCGCACATTCTATCAACAGATGTTTCTGCTTTCTCATTTCCTTTTTGCCTTATATTTGATTAAACTATTTACAGTCTAATAAAAGTGGGAGTAAACAACAGAATACGTTATATTCCTCTGAATCTGATAAACCTAAAAAAGAATCTCAACAAACAAAGACAATTCAACGAAATAAGACAGAACAGTGAAAAACCCACAAGTAAGGAACCCTAACTTATTACAAAGCTAATGTCGGATTTGGAAAAAATGAAATGTAAGGAGGTGGAGAGATACCCAAGAAGATTCAAGTGATGGAAGAAGAAAAGGAATCGAGGTATCAAGGGAACAAGGCGGCGATCATTCGAGCTTGCAAGAGGAATAATGAATGACGAGTTTCCAAAATTATCTAAAGATTGGTTCTTTGCTTACACAAAGAGAGGAGAGAGAGAGAGAAAGAGACTGATGCAAGAATTAAGGGGATCAAATTCTCGGGAGCTCCTCCAACTCCAAAACTTTTCTCAAATACTCTTGTTTTAAAATTAAATTTAATTATGATTTTTTTTAAATCGAAAAAGGAGAGAAAGACCTCTTAACCCTTGAAAATATTTAATATTCACGACCTAACCAAGCTAATTGGGTCAAAAAGTACTTGAATCCCTTTTTATTGGGTTGTGACCAATTAAAACGAGTAAAACACTATTTTCTAGGGTTGAACAGATCCGATCGTTTCCTTTTTATTTTTTTAGGGTTCGTTCAACCTTTGCAAAAAATCCTTCGACATTTGACAGTTTATTTTTCTTCTACTTCTTCGACGTCAAACTTGGTATAACTACGGACAACTACGTCTTTGTGTAAGTTAAAATCAAGTTTTAATTTTGGGTTTTGTATAAAATCGATTGAAATTAGGGATACCATAGTTAATCGTTAGTCGATTTTGTTTGTGTAGAATCTGAAGTGATGGAATGGAAGTGCTAATAGAATCGTTTGAATGAACGTGATAATCTAATCGATTGATTTTGTTTGTAGGTTTGTGCAAGAGAGTAGTGGTTCGAACAAAAAACCCAATTGTATCGCTACAGAACTAGACAAAATCATTGAAGAAGAATATGCCATAACTGGATTATGAAGCAACAAATTCAAGCTCTCGCGGGGATTCAACATTATAATCTATACACTTTGGACAACTAATAGAACTTGGTATAACTATGTTGGTTTTGTAACTTAGAAATCTGGCATAACTACGTCAGTTTGTTAAATTTAGTACAACTTGGTTAGTATGGTTATTTGAAATTTTTGTACAACTAGGTACAACTTGGTACGTAGTTGTACTACCCAGATTTTGTTCTCTCTCGTCCTCTTTCTCTTCTATAGTACAAAATAAAAAATTAAAAAAATTTCAAAATTTTAAAACCTTAAAAAACGTGGGTCAAACTTCTCAGGGTCAAACTAAGCCGTCATAAATTGCAAGTGGGCGCCGCAAAACAAGTACATCTGCCAGGTGGCACTGCAAAAATGAACACAGTTATTCCTAGTTTTCAAGTTGTACTCGCATATACACAGTTGTACTTTTTGAGATTTTTTGAATAATTAGTTATACTTGGATTGAAACTAATTTTTTGTAGTTAAACCCATGATTTTAGTTATTTGAGGTACATTTCCTATGTTTTCAAGCAAAAATATCTGTCAAAACATTATTTTTGTGTGTTTTGCAATGTAATAGGGATAACAATAAGAAAATCATCTTAAAAGTATAAGGTCTTTCTTGAACAAAAATGAGTTTAATGGAAATTATCCTATAAATTTTGTTTAACTAATGTTATTTAAGAAGATTTGTTAAATTATTGGTTAAGTTTCTAAAGTGCATATGAAGAGTTTATAAATAGTCTAACTAATTTTATTAAAAAATTTGTATAAAATGAGTTTACTGAAAACTATCCTATAAATTTTGTTTAACTAATGTTATTTAAGAAGATTTGCTAAATTATTAGTTAAATTTCTAAAGTGCATATGAAGATTTTATAAATTATCTAACTAATTTATTAAATTACATATAAAGATTTGTTAAATTGGTCGTAGTTGTACCATTAAGAAACTAAGCTTTACCAAGTTGTACAAAATATAAAGTATCAAAAATTAAATACAGACACACATACACAAATACGGACTGACATGGAATGTTATGATTGGTCAAAATAATAGCTTCTGATTGGTCAAATTGTTTTTGTTATTTATTATTAAATTTGATTTTCTAAGGGTAAAATGGGGATTTTGTATTTCATTAAGAGTATGAGAGTGTATGTGATTTTTGGAGAGTATATAGATTGATAGGTCAAGAGTAAAGAACTCCTCAGATTTGAACCCGAATTAATGCAACGAAACAGAGAAAATAGGAAATAAAAAAAATAGTAAGTAATGGCGGGGGGCCCCAAGTTGGGTTTTTTTTGCAGGTATCTCTACTGTTTCTGTAATGTGGAGTTTCTCTACTGTCTTTTTTTTTTTTGTTCTTTTTATGTTTCTGAGTATAATAAAATTAACGCTAAGATTGTTTGCCTTGACAAAAGAATAGTTAAGGTTGAAATTGGGAATTTGTTAAATCATTACTTTTAAGATTAGGAATTATGTCAAAGGAGAAGAAGATTCATTGGTCCTTGGAGATAAGAAGGTACAATGATTAACTTTTTTATTTTTGGGTAATCTATGGGTTTCTTTCTACATCAATATTTCAGATTTCTTTTTTCTTTTTTGTCAACATAAATCAGAATTCAGATTGATATTTGGTATTCCCCTATTTTTTTTCTCTCTTTTTTCCTATACCAAATAGAAAAGTCAAAGAAATGTTGGGCCATATGAAACAAATTGATGGGTTAAGCCCAATTAATAGGTTAGGCCCGTTATTGTTTTGTAACGAACTGAATCTTTGGTCTTTCTCAGTTTAGAACAACAAATTCTTGTTTGGAAATAAGATTTTTAATAGTCGGACGATATATACTAACTTGTGACTTGTGTAAGTGTAATGTGTTGTTCTTGTTGGGGTTACTTGTTTCTACAATAGTCACTGATTACTCGTTAATGATTCCACTAATTTGGTCAGTCATTTACCGTACGATTTAACAACTTAGCTTTTGGAACCTTCTTATAAACAAGAAAATATCGAAGGGTACGAATAGCAGAATTAATTAAAAAAAATTTAAAAATCTAATTATAGAATTTAAACCTAAAGACAGAAGCGCCAATCATTTAACCTCACACAATTAGCAGGCAATTTTTAACCAACGATGTTGAAAATTTATAACCAAAACGAAACGTAACAACAATGAAAGAAGAACAACACAAAATAACTATTTGTTTTTCTCTCTTGATTGAGAGAAAAACAAAAAAAATAATCTAAAAAAATAATTTTTTTCTTTGCAGCTGATCTTTCATATTTTTGATTCTCTGTTTCGCTTCGGCGGAATCAGAGAATCGCTTCAAGTTACAAATTCGAGACAAACACGTTTTGTGATATCGAATTTATATTCGTTTACGGGGAAGAAACATTTCAAGTGGTAAAGCATTTTCTTGATGAATTCTGTGTAGAAATTTTGAATCGTTTGATGAAATTTAAAACTAAAAAAATGGATTTTGTAGAGAAATGGGCGTGTCTCAAACCGACGGAAGAATGGAAGGTTGGCTTTATACCATCAGACATAACCGATTTGGCCTTCAATTTTCCCGTAAACGATATTTCGTTCTTCTAGAAAACAACCTTACAAGTTTTAAATCTGTACCATCCGATCACAATGAGGTTTGTCTTTTAAACTTTTTCACATCTTTTCTTTGTCTCCTAGGATACATTTTGTTCACATGTCATGAATTACGTATAGATACAAAACAACGTGAATAAGTATACTATGATATATCAACGAATGAGCCATTTGAAACTCCAAAAAAGTTATGTTTTATGTGTAGGAACCTGAGAGAAGAGCATCTTTAGATTGTTGTATTCGGGTTACCGACAATGGAAGAGAGAGTTTCCATAGGAAGGTACCAACTTTTATATATTAATAAGCCTATAATTTCTCTATTTCACAGCAAATTTTAGTAATTAGTATTATTTTGTTTCAGATTCTTTTCATATTCACTCTTTACAACACTTCGAACCATTTGGATCAACTAAAGGTTTGTTTCAATGGTTTTGTCTTTATTCTCAGACTTCCCCTTTTGTGTAAATAATCAGTTAGGTTTCTTACTTCCTACAGTTGGGAGCAAGTAGTCCTGAAGAAGCAGCCAAATGGATCCGATCATTGCAGGATGCTTCACAAAAGGTTTTTTTTTTAACAGTTGTAACATTTTCTTTACACTATAAATTTTAGAGACTTTTCTTCATTGGATTTATGTTTTCATCAGGGGTTTCAATTTCCGGATTGCGAATTTGTATCTCATGCTGAGAAGGGACTTGTGAAGCTTGATGTATCAAAGAGGAACCGTCGCAAAAACTCTGTGGACTGGACAAATTACTCATCCACAAATTACTCATCAACATCATTGAATGTCGAAACAGTAGTTGCGCATGATGTCATTGCACCTTCTCCATGGAAAATCTTTGGATGCCAAAACGGTAAGAAAAGACAATATTTCTTGTCTTTCAAGAAACCGCTGGCCTTATTCAAACTTTTGAATTTCAGGTTTACGCCTTTTCAAAGAAGCTAAAGATTGGGATTCCCGCGGAAGGGTAATACTTATTTGTTCATATTATTGCATTATCTTTGAATCATAATTGGTTTCTTCACTTATTTTCTTTTGCTGAAACCTATTGCACTTGCAGCATTGGGATGATCACCCTGCAATAATGGCAGTTGGGGTCATTGATGGTACTTCAGAAGATATTTTTAATACGTTAATGTCTCTCGGTCCCCTAAGATCAGAGTAAGCTCTATAAATTTTGAGAACTTGTCCTATTAGGTCGAGTTTCACTTACTTTGTTTCCAAGTTAGCCACTTTAGGTCTACATATTTATCTGGTTTTCAGCTTAGGATTTACTTGCTTATTATGAATTATATTAAGAGATTGAAACTTTGTTGGATTTCTTGCAGATGGGACTTCTGTTTCTACAAAGGTAGTGTGGTGGAGCATCTTGATGGACACACAGATATAATCAATCTTCAGTTATACAGTGATTGGTTGCCATGGGGCATGAATCGAAGAGACTTATTGCTGCGACGTTACTGGAGAAGGGAAGAAGATGGAACATATGGTATGATGTTTATTCTTGATAATGTTCTTGATTTGTTGAGTTTTCGGGTTTATATATAACCTTCTTAACCTTGAATATCACAGTGATACTTTGTCACTCTGTTTATCACAAGAACTGCCCACCAAAGAAGGGATACGTTCGCGCTTGTGTCAAAAGTAAAGTTTCTTACTTCATTCTAATTTGGTTTTTTCCATATCAAAAGTTAGAAGGGACCTAATATAGTAAGGGACATCTGAATGTAGGTGGTGGTTATGTGGTGACTCCGGCGAACAACGGGAAACAATCACTAGTAAAGCATATGGTAGCCATTGATTGGAGAAGCTGGAACTTATACATGAGGCCATCTTCTGCAAGATCCATAACTATCCGTGTGGTTGAGAGGGTTGCAGCATTACGCGAAATGTTCAAAGCGAAACAAGGAAATGGCTTCACTGACTTCGTTTCAGGGGAGTTTTTGGACACCAAACCCTGCTTATCCAAAATCAACACTAGGCCCCTTAAAACAGAGGCCAAAGAGGTTGATCTAGAGACTGTGAAGGCTGAGGAAATGGATAAACCTACTTCAGCACGCAATAGTTTGATGGACTTAAATGATGCTTCTGATGAGTTTTTTGACGTTCCTGAGCCCAACGAGTCTACCGAGTTTGATAGCTTTATTGATACCTCTCCATATTCTCAAGGACATCAGGTAATTTTCTGCTTAACCACTTTGCTTGTGGATCAAACTAATTTGAAAGGTGTGTGTGTGTATTTCAGCTCAAGATACCAACACCAGCTGGTATTGTTAAGAAACTTCAAGATCTAGCCATTAATAAGAAAGGCTATATGGATTTACAAGAAGTGGGTTTGGAGGAAAATAACACCTTCTTCTATGGAGCTACTCTTCAAAAAGATCCAAGTCTCACTCTGCCTTGTAGTTGGTCTACCGCAGATCCATCGACATTCTTGATTCGTGGAAACAATTATCTAAAAGATCAACAAAAGGTAATCCATCTTTTAGTTTACAAATATGTTTTTGTTCTTCTTGAATCTTAAATGCAAAGTGCTGAT